CCTACTTCTTCTTCTTCTTCTTCTTCTTCTTCTTCTTCTTCTTCTTCTTCTTCTTCTTCTTCTTCTTCTTCTTCTTCTCCTTCTTCTGGCGGGTAGGGAACAATGTCAACGAACTGTTCCAATTAGCAGAAGAAATACGAGCAAAGACTCAGTTCTATGCTTCAACAATTTAATATTCCATATTATATTGGTCACGATTTAACACTGATATAGGGCTTGTTCCTGTAGACCTACAAGAGAGCAGCTCTCTCACTCACAGTCAAAGGCACGTACAGTTCAGCCAACCGGGAGCTCTGTGGCACTGGCTGGTGTTCTTGTTGTTATGAGCGATGTAGTTCGATTCGATTTTATCTGTTTTGTCGGTTTGTTTGTTTTCGTAGAGGTTTTACGGCGCTCGCAACTGCATAAAGTCATATGAGCGCCAAGGGGTGGATGTCAACAGAGAAGTCCTTACAGGGAATCAGACTTACTCTGCTCACCTCTCGAGCTTCAACAGCACAAAGTCTGCTTCGACTATCAAGGCTCCCCGGAAATAGCGGGTCACAAGAATGAGACAAACACATACAAAAGAAGTAGAGGAAATGACGATAGTACCGATAAGGAAAGAAAAAGCAGCAGTTCCCTGTTGTAGTTCAAGCACAGTTATGAGTTTGGCATTGTTGGATCAGCCCATTTACAATTCTACTGTGCATTAGAACGAGAAATGTACCTCTCTGTAGATATATGTACATGAAAATAAGGGTAAGACATGACGTTCCACTACTTTCGCGATGTAGTACGCTAAACCGAGCGATCCAGTGATTCTCATGAGAGCAATTTTGTTCATTCCATCCCAGACCACCCAAAACCTTGGCCGTTTCAAGGCCTTTAACAGATGGTTGTGTCCAAAATCTAACTAACAATCTGTGTGCAAAAAAGGTTTCGTGCTCGACCCGAAACCTTTAGCTCCTAAACAAAAACAAAATTTTTACAAATGAGCACACGTTATGTTAAGTCCAGGTTTTGTATTTGCACTATTTGTATTTGCTTTATTCTCCAATCTGTTGGAAAATATCGTAAGCAGATGCTATTCATTGCAGAGACAATAATATTATTTTTTCATTTGATATTCTATACATGTTCATTCTACCAATGTTGATGCACCTCAATAATAATATGAACGAACGCACTTTTACGTCTATCTGATGTCGCACAATTTTGCCAAGCCTGATTTTTTTTAAAGATCAACTTTGAGTGACCATATCTCGGGCGTCTCTTAAAGGTAGATCTATCCTCATCAATTTGGAAAAAATGGTGAAAAGTGGCTTTTTGAGAACTTGGTATTTTTGGAAAGTACAACCATTATACTTCACATTGAAACAACCGCTGAGAAGCCCAGGACAGGGATATGTACACAACGGGGGGCCATTAACGGCTTTTAGTGAGTGAAAATACAAGAAAATGAACATTTTTCCTGTTTTTCTGCAAATCCGATTTTTCTTGCTGTTACTAACCTTCCATGCATGATATTTCTGTCAAGTTTTGTTCAATTGATCTGAAATTTATCATGGTTGCTCATAACTCGTAAGTAGAGAGTTTGAAATAAAAATGAAACCTCCAGAATATCTCAAAGTTGTTCTTTTGTCTTCTTGAAAATTTCAGTGCAAGCATTTATCTTTATATCAGAATATATTTAAAAAAAAGAAAAGAAAACGTTAAAAACTATTCTATAACATGCAATGTTCATAGAACAGGCCCTTAAACTTCCTACTATTTAAAAAAAATCAAAAAAATCTGTATTTGGCAAATTTCAAGTCAATCAAGATGTGTTTTTTATTGAGTTATGATGTTTTAAAACTGTTATCTTTTTTTAGCAACACTGCGGCCTACTTCTTCTTCTTCTTCTTCAGCTTCCTCCTCCTCCTCCTCCTCCTCCTCCTCCTCC